TTTCGTCTCATTGTTTAGAATATCTTAATGCATCTGTGATGCGTGGAATGCATTCATACTAACAGACTTACTATTGTTTTCTCTCAGAGGCTTTGTTGAGCAAAAGACTGCATCACAGTCCCCAATAATTATATTGGTTAATTAATCAAGACAAAAAAGTTTGCAAATCATTGCCTGGTTGCCAAGCAGGAGGATAAAAAATGAACACAATACAAGCTGTAGCAATATGACAAAAGTAACAGCTATCGGATCAGAGATTCGTATATAATGAAGCTATTAATACTAAATCAGTTAATGTTAACATTGCTTAACATTGCTCCAGGTGTCTCTACTTAGATGAAAACAAAAAGGCTAACATTATGTCTATAAAAGGCCAAATGTTACCATGGATCCTGAAACCTGACAGAGAAGTGCCAGCTTTTTCATTTGATTAGGGAATGCAATTTAAATACCAGGGACTACAGCCAGATAGTCATTTCTCTCTGCAAGCCTCTTTCATTCATTCTAGGGTCAGTAGCTGGTGAACAAAAGGTCAGTCACATTTGCCCTGGAAATGTCCGGATTAATTTTATTACACTGTAATAGTTATATTTCAAATGGAACACTAACACTAATTTCTCCATATGATATTTTTCTTTCCACAGTATGACTTCTTTCTGCACACAATGCATCAGTGAAATAAATTATTGGAGAAATAACATGGCTATCCTCCTTCCGTCATATATTTTATAGGAGTAATTATACCATTACACAAGCCTATTAGCTCTCTTGTGTATATATACCTCTGAAATAAGCAAAATAACATCTTTACAAAAAAAATCATCTTACCTAGCATTTGAGGGTACAATACTTCAGTTGTGTACATCCTCTTATCAAATTTCCTCCTCAAGAAAGCTTGTTCGGCGCCATCTCTACTTTCATTTTGGCCCTAGGTGATTACCTTTTTATTGTCCTGCTTTTAGTTGTATCAGCATTAATGATTCTGGTACTGTACATTTTTATTGTATATTTTATTGTTTGTATCATTACATTTTTGTGCGTGCTTTTAAGACTAAGAAGTTTTCTATATTTGTAAATCAATCAAAATGATTCGCTGTCCATAAACTGATCTGTGATTGTATAGATGCAATTTTTTCTTTATAGAAAAATGTTCACTGTAGGGAAAACACTGAAAAATTGAAGTTGGTTTTTGCAAATATTGTTCAACAAACTGCAATTCATAAAAATGTAATGAATTTACACTTAATTGTTGTGCTTTTCTGAGTCTTACTACTTCATATGTATTTGCCCTTCTACTCTATACAACACTTGCTCCTGAATCTGTACTGCCTTTGCTTTTTCTGTGTCATCCTAATACCTCATGGTAACAGTAAGGTCTGGCCCAGGAAGTCTGAGTGAAAAATGCCTGTCTACCATAAAATATACTAGGCAGCTGTATCTTTTCTCCATTATGAACAGCGCCATTGAGCTACTTTGATACATATAAAAATCTGTGTCAAGTGTACAAAAACTACTATAACTGGATAATTGGAAAGTAGGCTGGATCTACATTACCTTTTAAACTATAAGGAGCAATCAATAGCATAAGGAGCCAAGGCATGGGAAGTCAAAGTGAGAATATATCTATCCCAGAATGACAGCCATGAATGAGGCTATAGCTTTTAACTATCATGCTTTACACATTATCCATCACTAAAGATGCACATGAAGTGTGCCATGTTGTCTAAGTTGTTGGTGCGACATTCACTCCCCCCCCCAGCTGGCTCCCACAATGACCTGCTGATGCATGCTGCTCTTTCCCTCCCCATCGTACGATCTTCCATTCTGGCAGGAGCATGGACTTTTCTCTGTCTCCTCTAGCATTTGCCCACTCAGATGAGGAGGCAGGGCAACATTCCTGCAATGCAGCCTGTTGGTGGGCAGCTGCTGGAGGAGGTGGAAAAGTGAAGTCTGTGCTTCTGCTGGAATGGAAGATCATGCAATGGGGAGGGAAGGAGCAGTGCATGCTTGCAGGTCAGTGGGGGAGCTGGCTGGGGGGGGGAATTTAACGTGCACTACCTGTGGTGCCATGCTGAGAAGATAGAAGACACAGCGGAAAGTGCTTCGTGCCCATCTCTATCCTCCATTCAGCATGTATGTACATGTCCCATCTTTGCATGGAACAGAATCATGCAGAATTAGTTGCACGGTTAAGTACTATTCTTATCTTAGCCAAATAAGCTTTAGAAACCATGAAGTAGGTACACTGCAATAGTAGGTTCATTTTACTTTAACCAGCATGGCTTTGCTTTATGGACTTCTCTGATTTGTAGTCTGGTGCAGTTCACAGGATTCTCTGCAAGACAGCCCTAGCGTTACAGATCAGGGAAGTGTGCTAGAGCTCTCTAGAATACATTTTAAAGACATCAATGAACAAAAAATATCACGACTTGACAGAATGTAGCCGTGACATGGTTGTATGTTTAAAGAGAACAAAAAAGTCACAAAAAAGAAAATGTGCCAGAAAAGCTTAAGACCGAATGCTAGATGAGACTTTCTTTCCAAAGCCAGGGGCCATCCTCAAAAGGATCTCAGATTGCAAGAGAATATTGAATAAGATCTATTATGACAATCCTGATGAAAAGACAGGTAGCCCCAAACTTTAATGGGTTTTAAAAATGTTGAGAGAGAGCACCTGCAAACAAAAAAGGGCACATATAGCAAGAGGAATTAAAGCTAAGTCACAATGGAGGAGTAAAGACAGGTAGCAAATAATTGCAGGGATGGCGTTAGGAAAGCAAAAGCTGAGAATGAGCTGAGGTTAGCAAGAGTTACTAAAAGCAACAAGAAAGGATTTTTCACCATGAGAGAAGTAGCAGGATCAATGCCCACATTTTCCAAGTGCATATCAAAAAGCAGAGAAAAGAAATAAAGCAGCTACTTAATGAGGTTTGGAAAACAGAAACAGACAACAAAGACAAAAGAACTCAATTCTTATGGTTGTTGTAGGTTTTTCAGGCTGTTTGGCCGTATTCTGGAGGTTTTTTCTTCCTAACGTTTCACCAGTCTCTGTGGTCAGCATCTTCAAAGGACAGAACTCTGTCTGGAACTCTGGAGAACACAGAGTTCTAACTCCTGTCCTCTGAAGATGCTGACCACAGAGACTGGTGAAACGTTAGGAAGAAAAAACCTCCAGAATACGGCCAAACAGCCTGAAAAACCTACAACAACCATTGGATCCTGGCCATGAAAGCCTTCAAGAATACAACTCAATTCTTACTTTGGCTCAGTTTTTCCCCAAATGACAGTCTATGACACTCCAGGCAAATGTGAAGTACAAGTGGAAGGGACAAGACTACAGCTTGAGCTTGATAAACCAAGTAGTCAAGGAATATCTTATTATTTTGAATAAGTTCTAATCTCAACCAGTGGTCTCAATCCCAGTGGTGGGACTAGTGGCAATAATTCTGGCAAATGAATGGTAACTCAAAGAAAAATCCCATGGATCGAAGAGGCCTATTTTAGTTGGAACCAGCAAGTAGAACTAGGCTACAAAAAAGTGAGAACTGCAGTGTTTTGAGCAACTGAATAAGGGCTCGATGACACATGCCAAAAGAACCCCAGTTATATTGATTCTGTTATTATTTAAATCATTTTATACATTTCCTTTCATAAGATGCATGGGTAACATTGAGTCATCTGGCCAGCCAGTTGGGTTTTCCCCCACCTCATTGGAACTGTCGTTTTAAAATGGACTAATCTTGCATTGCTTCAATCTTTATTATTTTGACACATGTGAAAGTTGCTGTCAATTTATTTACTTTGTAAACAGGTTGGGGTTTTGGGTGCCATGGCTAGTGTGTGGCCACTGCACCTGTACCATTTACATTTTTTGTTTTTTAAAAATGGTTATCGATACACTGCATTAGGAGGAGCAACAACAACAGGAATAAATTACTCAGAAGGGGATAGCCTTCCTGCCACTCCCTTGAGGGTTTAAGGAAGGAAAGGGGAAAGAGGGCTTGAACAGAGAAAGGGCTCTTTCCTATTTGGAACTGTTTGAGGGGAGAAAGAAAAGAGCATCACATTAACATCTCTGTCTTGTTTTTTTAACCCAGTTCTTCACAATCAATCAACCAATCAATCAATCAAATAAAATTTAAGAACAGTAAGAAGAGATCCATGTTGTTAAAAAGTAATGTAATATGAAACTCATGAGACCACACGAAAGTTAATACCCAATTGCAATGAGCAATATAAAGTAAAACCACAAATTTTCTACTTTTATATTTTACAAATGTATCTTTATTTTTTCTAACATGTTATCACTATGATTTGATTTTTTTTCTGCATAGTTTTGTAAGTTCCTCTGCATCATTCTTGCTTCAACTGGATTCTAATGATAATTCTCCTGCAAATATTTTCACTTTGTATCTATTGCAAGAAGAATTTAATGAGATTAAAATGCTTAACAGATACATAATTTGTGCCGTTTGACTAGATCTTTGAGAAATAGCATATACGTTTAGATTTTTTTTAAAATATGAGAGAGGGTAAGATAAATAAACAAAATTGTTTTTGGTGTTTTTTTAATGAAAATTTTAAAAAAACCCAAAACAATTTTGTTTATTTATCTTACCCTCTCTCATATTTTTGTCCAAATTCAGCAGTCAATGTATTTGCATAATAAATACATTTTTAAAAAATCTAAACATACATGCTATTTCTCAAAGATACTTGGCATCAGATGTTTCCGTTTGATTTAGAGTGTGTCAGGGGGAAGCAGTTCTTTTTAACAACTGACCATCCTTTGGTCTCTATACTACAACACTATAAGTAGTGTCCATGTTGGACTTAATGCCCTAACCTTCTTTCTGTTCCCTCCCTTTGTCCTCCACAGCAGATTGGAGATTGCAGTGGAGGAGTGTAAATGGTCTTCCTCTCATTTCCACAAGATTCCTCCAGTCCACCAGCAGAATCCCAGTACTAAATACTGTGCAACAAAAGCACCAAAAACATACCTCTGGTTTCTTCATGATCTCTATGAAAAACATGTGATTCTTCATTGGATAAATAATAATTAAAACATCTCCAAAATCTGTTGGTATAATGCCTCTGCGATAATTTCTGGTGTGTTCAGACCAGACAACATGAATTTCATCATTTCCCAAGTGACGAAGCTGTAATAGCAAATCGCAAACTATTAATCAGAAGGACAAAAACAGTGTGGGGAGTTATGTTGAACGAATTGATTTATAGCACTGATAGCAAATGTAATTTCAACAAGAAAACTTTACATATGTCAGCTATTTTCTTATTAAGAAAAGCAGTGAAATAATTTCTTGCACTCAAAATATTTCTGGGACTTGGTAAAAGACCAGATCACCTCATGGTAATATGTTCTAAGTTCTGAGGTAAGCAATTCAGTATTTAGCCTCCAAATACAGTAGGACCCCCGTATCCTGTCAGGATTTGTTCCTTCAAGTGAACAAGAGGTTAAATTTAATATTGTAGTGAAAATGCAAAGTCATGCCTGTAACGTCAAGCCAATGGATGATTGATAGCATACAGATGGGACAACCTTAGGTAATGCTTGTTAAACATGTTCAGCTGCCATGTCTGCAGTGATAGGCTGCTCTCACTATTTAAGCAAGTGTATGAGAGCAGCACTTTGCCTCTCAATTGTGAGTCTGGTAGTCATTACTTTGCTTGAATGTGAATGTTATGTTGCACTGAAATATCTATGCCAATGTATATGTTGCCATGTATGTACGTATGTCTGACTAAGTCTAATATATTATGCTATAAGTATTATTAGGACTCTCTCTGTGCATTTTCTCATTTGTCCGGATCTTTATTCTGCTTATTAAAGGGAGGATTTGAAGCTACCAGATAAGAGACTCTGTGTAATTTGTTATCTTGGGCTCCAAGGTTTGTTTTCCCTAACAGAGTGCTCTTGGAGGCTTCATTATCTGAAGCTGACTCCAAGCTTCAGGAGAGGCAATACGCCATATCAAGCCTCTGGAGTTGGCCCCATACCAACATATCCATGGGATCAGTATTTGTGGTTCCACTTACAGTTGTGCCCCGCTGGATGATTACCCCGCTCTATGACGAATCCACTTTATGTTAATGTTTTTGTGATCGCTTTTGTGATTGCAAAACCATGTTTTAAATGGGGTTTTTTCACTATGCGATGATCGGTTCCCTGCTTCAGTTTCAAAATGGCCGCCAGCTGAAGCAAATGGCCCCCCCGCTGTTTTCTAGGATGGATTCCTCGCTTTACAGGCACCGAAAATGGCTGCTGTATGGAGGATCTTCACTGGATGAGCAGGTATTCAGCCCATTGGAACACATTGAACGGTTTTCAATGCGTTTCAATGGGTTTTTTTATTTAGTTTGATGACGTTTTCGCTCTACAGCGATTTCGCTGGAACGAATTAATGTCGTTAAGCGAGGCACCACTGTATCTGCAGTCTGAAAATATTAAAAATATTAAAAGAAAAAGAAAACTAGAAATATTTATGTTCACGATGTATTTACCAGAAAGGAAAATTAGAGGAAGCCAGAGACCATGTTATGTATTCTTGTTGCTGAACAATACACAGCATGATCTCTGTCTCCCTCTAGTGGCCAGGTCTGGCAATACATCATGAAAAAAAATATGTTTTCTGCTTTTTTTTTTTTTAACCATGCTATGTATATTACTTAACCTCAATTTTCAACATTCATGGTGGTGGGGACCCATGGATACAGGGGTCCTACTGCTCCACAAGGAAATATCTTCCAATCTTAATTGGGATGAATACCAGCTGCACAGGGTTCTGATTTTTCTATAGAGATCTGTAGGCTTCAGGTGTCAGAATTCCTGACCTGACATGCCTTAAAACAGGAATGGGAAGGAAAGGGAAGAAGAAAGCAGACTCAAGTACCAGGAGTGAGAGGAAAGGATTCAAATGGCAGCCAGTTTTCCCACTGCCCCACCTGTTCCACTGTTGCTAGAACCAGCTGGAATGCCTTTAAATACATACAAGTGCTACAGACAGGATTAAGCAATCACACTGCTTGAATTGATGAGAAGGCATTTGATTCCAAAGGAGCAGAAGTCCCAGTGATGAAGGAAAAAAATACAGATAGGGGCACTGACTTTTATGTCATGTGCTCAATGGAAAATAATGTGAATCATACCATCCCAATCCCAGAATATTTCCTACATTATTTGTCAGTATAGTCACAGCCTGCATCTCATTCCTTTTCAGTGGGTCTGCTCTTAGCAAGATTAATTCTAGACTGAACTAATTATATTCAAGCACTAGTATGTGAAACACAATGTTAATAAATGTTGATATGAAAAATCTAACTTTCATATTTGCTTTTATTTAATTTAGATAATTAATGACAAACCAAATTAGTGTCCTATTTTTGCTAGGTAATTTATTGGATACAGAAAGAATGAAGATGAACAAAGGAATAAAGAGGAAGAAGAAACGAAAACAGACAAGTGTATGCGCATGGATACCCAGAATGCAATTCTGTACTAATGCAGCTGAAAACTGGATTAGGCGATGACAGCTAGAAATATAAAACACTGCCTTAGAATAGGAATGGACAACTTTTAAAAGTCTTAGGGGCCACACATTATCCCTTTTGGCCCCACAAATCGTGCCCCCTCAAAAACTCCTGAATTTCTTTTCTTTCTTTTTTAAAAAAAGCTCTCATGCTGGAATCTGTCTAAAGGAAGGCAATGAAAATGGTAGCAGTTCTGGAAACCAATCCCTACAAGGAATCACTGAGGGACCTGGGTATGTTTGGCCTGGAGAAAACTGAAAGGCAGTATGATAACCATTTTCAAATATGTGAAAGGTGTTGACATGGAAGATAAAGCTTGTTTTCTGCAGCACTAGAAGACAGGACCCAAAGTAATGGATTCAAATTGCAAAAAAAGAAGATTTCACCTAAACATTGGAAAAAATGTGTTAACAATAAGAAATGTTTGATAGTGTAATGGACTGGTGATAGACTTTATTTCACTGGAGACTTTAAAACAGAAGTTAGATGCCACCTGTCAAAGATGCTTAGCTGTAGATTTCCTATTTTGGCAGGGAGCTGGACTCAACAACCCTTGGGGTACCTTTCAGGTCTACAGCTCTATGCTTCGGTGCCCCACAGAGACTGGGGAGCAGCAATTTCACTACAGTTTTGCTCTGTCCTACTTTAGACCTGTGGGACTTGTCTTTAAAACCTGAATTGGCTTACAGTCACTTCCAGTTTTGAAACAAGCCCTATTCCACCAAAAGAGGCCAGGGCAATCCAAAACGTACAAAAGTGCCCTGTTACCTCTGATGGCATGGAGGGTAGTTTTTCGAAAAGAAAATTGTATGAGATGCTGGGAGGCTGCAACAGGAACCTTTGCAGTTCCATCCCTGTCTTAGAAAACATAGCGTTCCTGTCTACAGGAGATATTAAATGACATTTTCAAACATCTAGCGGTGACTTGAAGCTTGCAATACTACTAACCAATGACTAGAATCCAACCACTTGTGTTGGTGAAATTGTAGACACTGTGGGAGAAGCTGCCACTAACTAGTGAGCTGCTAGCTGTGTTCCTGGTGCACGCTTTCACTTATGCAAGTGTAAATCACCAGCAGGATTCTGACCAACATATTTGATGATCCATTAACTCTAAGCACAATACAAAAATATTCTGATGCTTGTTAACACAGCTTTTATTTAAAAAACACAAAACCCTGTTACTCTTGAGAAATCTATCAGAAACACTAACATTTAAAACAAAGGCAATAATGTTACTGAAAAAAGCCTCAAAATGGTGTTTAAGAATATTTATGAACAAATAATTTCTAAGAACAAAATAATAAATCAAGAACTCTGCTGTAAGAGTACTTATTAAGAAAGTACTGATGGAAAATAAGTACTTAAGTCTTCTTACTATTTTTACAGGACATTTGTAGCATGGATTTTTATAAGATGTTTATAAGGTGGTATACACTTTTACATTGCAGTTAAGAGTAGTAAAGAGGTTAACCTTTTTCATGATGCTATCCTAGAAATATTTTTTTTGTTCTATCAGGATTAGGATAGAAGTTAAGGTTTAATTGGCAAAGATCAATCCAGAACCTAATTTGAATGTTTTTTGTCAATCATGTCCTGGCTTAGTTATCTTAATACCATCAGTATGTCAGAAAACACGTCTATTGATGAACATAAAATAAATTGCACATTCGGAGTAAAATTGTGTGTCATGCGTATACTCCTCGATAACACATTGTTAAAGGCATTCTGCTTTAGCTATTCTGTTCTTTGCCTGCCAGGCAACACACCAACGCTGACACTGGTCATGGTACACACACCTAATAGTCTGACCTCCTTTTCCTACTAATTGCATTACAGAGCCAGCTGGCTCCAGAAAGAACTTGTCTGTGTGATTGAAGAACTTCTGCTTGGGGTAGGAATGGCTGCTACTTCTACTGAGTAATGGCCAGTCCTGACATCCTCATTGTCTGCCTGACAGAGCGCCCATCCTAAAATCGAAGTTTTATTTGTAAATTAACCAAGAAACTTCCTGCCAGAACAGTGCTGCCTGGAGACTGATAATGTGCGCCTTTCATTCCCTTTCACTCTTACTGTATTCACTGCCAATTTGTTTTCTGCTGCCAGCCAGCCTTAGGCTATAAAAAGCCTTGTAAGACATAAGTGCAATTATAGTCCTGGAGTCAAATGAATTGAACAAATCCAATAGCACAACTCTGTCTCCACTTTGCAAACCCTACAGCAGTTAGATTAGCTGCTAAAAATCTAATCTAGCTATAACTAATGAATTTCTCAAGTAAAAGACCAAGAGTTCAGTAGGGGGTTGAAACCTGGTTCCTGAATTCAGATATTCTTTGCAGCTAATTGGTATCTTTTCTAAAAATAAAGCTACATATACTTTTGAGAGGGCACTATTAAGATGTTGCTACCACTATTTGTTACCATTGTGGTTATAAGATTGTTGGACAGAAAACAAAATACTACTGATAAAGTCTTTGAGCTCTAAAAAAAAAATCTAACACTTGATTACCAAACTCCTTTTTTAAGCATTATTTCAGTAATGACACTAATTTACAGCAATTTGCACCGTACAATTCCCTTAAAAAGTACAAAAAGGTGAGTTACAAATAACCAGTTGTGCAACAGTACTACATTGCTCATGACAACTAAGAAAACATATTCCTCAGTATTTTATTCTACTCCAATTTATTGGCATTCCCCGCTAGAAGTTTACTTATATCAGAAGTCATGTGCAATTACATACATTTTCCAAAGTAAAAATAGAATCTCTAATAATTAAGTATTACTATGACATCTGTCTTATTCTGTGAGTCATGAAATATGCAGCCTACCATAGAATGGTCACATTTACAGGCAGCTTTTCTGGCCAGCAGGTGGTATGACCTTCTGTCATGCTATTGAGTTTGTCAGCTAAGCAAGTTGTTCAGCATTCTGCCTATTACACTTAGAAGCTGCCAAAGGGATGAAAAACCCACTATGGGAAATAAAATTGAAGGGTCACAAGTATCATCTGAATAGCTTTGAATAATATATACTGCATATCCGTAGCTAAAACTAAAGAAGAAAATTAAAAACCCTTTATGGTGGCTTCTAATTTCACATATATTTGAGTGTGAGTATTCAGAACTGTTTTACATTAGAGGATATGCCACTTTTGGCTTACACTGCTCACATAAAGAATCATCTACCACAACACCCCCTATTAAGTAGAAACCATCCCTGCTATTTTGAACTCTGGTTAAATCACTGTTTCAAATTTGCTTTGTAAAAATGATAATATTGGAATCCACATAAAAACTTCTGCCCTTCTCTGTCTAGGCAGTAAGTATTATTGGGGTGAATTTGAGCTGCAGCTATTTTATAACATGTACAGCATGATTCATTGTGAAATTTAACATTACTTTGGAAGAGGTTAGTTATGTGTTGAGTACAGAGGTCAGGACAGAATATTCTATCTGGACAGAAAACTAAATGAGTTTGGGGAAGCATGGAAAGAAGAACCTTCAACTATATGTAATGCTGCAATAGGAATGGGGATGCTAAGGCCATTATCCTTGGATGACAGGACCATGGACTTTGTCTACTTCTTAAATGTTGAGAAGATACTGCAGCTTTCAGTACAAATGTCTGCTAAATGTGCAACGTGCAGAATGCTTCCTTTGTAATATTTCAGCAGCTAATGTTATGAGTAGGGCTTGACTGCAGTAATCTGTAGTCTACCCAAAATAGGATTAGAGTGGTTTGAAAGAGCAAACAGTTATTAAAGAAACCAAAAACAATGTAAGGTGTTAGAGGGGGAGGACCCCAGTAGATGAAGATGTAACTCGTTTATTGGTACATATGAGAGCCTCTATCTTTTTGAAACAATTCCAACTTAGGGCTGCTTTTTCTGCAGCAGATGGGAGAGATTTTCCCTTCCTAGTGATGCCTCAGGGCACATCCCACTGCTGCTTGGAAATAACACAGGACAGAGGAAAAAACAGAAAATTTTGGACTAGACAACTGGAGGTTTACAGATACTGGCTGTTTCAAGACAGGTAGCACCTAGAGGTAAAAACTGTTTCTTTCCCATTGCAAGCTGCACGTAGAATTGCAGCTGATTTTCAACTGTGTTGGGAACATTGTATTTTTTCCTGCACATTCCAGGTCCACATCAGTTGGTGTAATTTAGCTATTGAGCATGGGGAAGATCCATCTCACCCAAGCAGCCATGTGACATTCAGTTTCATCGTCTATACTAGGGATTCCCCGATAAGCCTAAGTATTTTATTTAGCATAGAAATATCTTCTGCTGTGATTCAATACTGAGAAATGTCTCCTAAATACAGTCAAAACAGAGACTGCAGTCAAGAAATCAGAAGATTGAGGCTTGGAAGGACAGCTGTGAAGGAAGTAGAAAAGATCTTCAAGTGTAAGGCTGTGTCACGATTATTTATTTATTTATTTATTTAT